GCGCGGGCACGCCCGGAGGCCGGCGTTTATTCCCGCAAGGGGGGCGTCTCCTCGAGGGGTTTCCGCCCGCGTCGCCCCCACCGTCCCCTTGGTCGGATGCCGTTGGCCCGTGAGCCGCCTTTCCGCCGCTCGGGTTTCGAACTCCTCGGCGGGGAGGCCTTTCCGCACTCGCGCCACGTCTCGTTCCGCCTCCTGCGCGGGGCAGAGTGTTTCCCCGAGGGCTTTTGAGCCCCGGCAACCGCACAATCGCCATTGGGGCCGAGATGGGGTGAACAGGGAGCGGGCACGGGGCGGGCCGTTGGAGCGAAGCCGGCCCGGCGGGAGCCCGCGTGGCCGGTGTGCTCGCAAGCCCTCGCGTGAGGTGGGCGGGCACGGGAAGGCCCCGGGGGCAAGTCACTAACGCCGCGGGCAGCCTCGCACGGCAGCGCCAGCTGGACCGCCGGTGCCGGAGGGTCCCTGGAACACGCACCTGGGAGGGAGGCCTGTCCCAAAAAGGGACTGCCCTCCAAAGGTCACGTGGGGGCTTTGGGGCCTTGCTGGTGCCCCTTGGTGGTGTTTGCTCTCCCGTCCCCCAACTGAAAACTCTGAGGGTGGAATTTCCGTGTGTTCCGGCACTGGGAGTAGCGCTCGGATGTGTGGTAACGTCTCCGGAAAGACGAGTTGAATAAGGAGGAAAAGCGAACGAATGAGTGAGCGAATGTTCTGCCTGCGGCCCCAGATGAAGTGTTCTTTCCTGTTCGCGCATTCCTCCCTCTTAAAAGATACTTGAAGGTGGCCGAGGGAGGGGCTGTGTCTGTAACTTTCGGCATTTGGGTTTGAAAACGACAGTGTCTGTGGTGCTTAGTAGATAGTCGGAGTTAATTCCCTCCCTTTTTGTCCAAAAAGAAGTCAGAGATTCTGTCACTAGATGGTCACTTTTATTATGACAGATCTCTTAAGAGTCTTCCAAATAATGTTTTCACAAACCAGGCACAGGTGCGAATGATGGCAGATGGCTGTTTTGGCAAGACTGGTCAGGGCACATTATATTTAAATAAAATAGTCATGTTTATTAAATAAAACTGTCTTCTCCATCTCATGGCAAAGGATGCCTCACCAGTTATATAGAGGAAGTTAATGGAAAAAGAGGTAGGTGCATGTTTTTTATAAATTCTGGATACTTTTTTAGAAACACATTTCTGATATTGAAGAGAAATCCAAAGAGTCCCTCAGAAATCTCTGCTAGTTTGTACAACTAAATTTATTCCCCTGTGCTTAACCATTTTTCTTCCTCAAACAGAACTGTACTCTTTGCTTAAACACACTGCAGTCTCTCTTGCCACTTTTGTCTTTGAGGATATATGGTAGGGATGTGATAGGTGCGACATTATTGTCATTAAACTCCCCCGTCTTGCCGTAAGGAGCATGACTCTGTGGCGACCAGTGAAATGCCATTCAGACGTCATTTGTCCCAAGTGGTTAATCCATTCCCCAATGTCGCTGATTTTTTAAATACTTAGTTTTGATGGTACAAGCCCTCCAACTCTCATGATATCTTTTGGAAGGCAAAGGGTGAATATATATTAAAGAGCAGAATACATGGATTAAGGTCAACCCTTGGTGGAATTTTAAAGTGGCTTAGAAGGCGGATCATCATCTCCAGTAGACAAGTCTGCTTTGTGCCTCACGTGGTCAACACGTTTGGATTTATAGACATACGTATTCTTGTAGTAGACCCTCATGCTCCATGTCATTACAGAGACTAATGTAGAGATGTATTCTTTTTGTCTGCTTCTGCATTAGTCTCCTACTCTGTGAAGCAGAAGACGTTGTGCCTGGAGTGGTCCTTCCGCTGCTGGACGGAAACTTCAACTGCCTGTTGATTGGCCGGGGGCAGAAAACGAAGACCGTGCGGTCCGCAGCGCAGTCGCCTTCATTACTGTGACGTGCCTGCGCAGGGAGGCCAGCCTGGTGTCCCCTCTGCGCTCGAGACATTTCGTGGTGTCTGCTTTGTGCTCGCTACCGGGAATAAGCACTTTTCCATGCAGATACACACTGCAGCTCCCTGACGAAAGCTGAAAAAATCGTTAAGTTAAGATTTGATAAATGTGCATGTGCCATGGTCCAGTGTATATGAAAAGGCAGTGTTCCTTGTATTTATTTTTTCTCTTTTGTGGCCAAAAAAACCTTCATCATACTGTTTGTCACATCTGCATTTTAGTGTATGGCCTGTTTCTTGTATCTTTAAAAATGTTGCTTAATAAAATGCATCTTGCAACTGTTTTATGTTCACTACACATTCAGCCTTGGATAAAAATCAATTTCTGTATGAATGTCACACTGAGGTGAAAAAATGATTTCTTGACAGATGTTTTTTAAAAATCCTAGTCGTTTAGGGAGCTGCTCTGAGTAGTTTAAATCTGGATTTCCTGTGGAACCTTCCTCTCTGACCAGAGGTATCCAGACAGACAGCCAGACTGCTGGCAGGCGAGCTCCTCGTCTCCCCCTGGGACGCACTCCGCCTCCGAGAAGGCGGACCAGCGTTCCTGGGACGGGGCCACTCAGGGGCAGAGCCGGGCAGAGGGAAGGCACCTGTGCCTCAGGGGGGACCGCTGACCCCCAAGCGTTTCATCGACTGACCTTCTCTCTTCCGACGAAGCACACCCCTGTGAGCGTTCGGGCTGGCTTCTCCCTCAGCTGTTTCCGTTGTGTAAATGACTGCATGGCCAGAATAGCCCCGCTCAGAATCAACTGGGTGGATTTCCTGGTGTCGGTGGGTGAATGCTCGTGAGTAGAGCACAGCGTGCTGCCCTTCGCGGGTGACTCGCTCGGCGCCAGGCACGGCGCACGTGTGCTTCGCGGGTGTCGCCTGGCACGTGACGGTGCTGGGTTTGCAGCTCGTCCACACGCTCTTTCCTGGCTACTTCTCGGACAGTCGCGTGCAAGAGGGCCGGACGCCAGGGCGAAGGGCGGCGTCTGTGACCGAGGGAGGTGACGGTTCGGATGGGCCTGTGACCGCAGCCTCAACCTCCTGGGTGTGGACGTGGCCTGAGCCAGTGGGCCAGCTCGGATGGGACATGCGTGTGTCTGGGAAGGTCGGCACGGTGCTTCAGAAGCCAAGGCTATGGATTTGATCTTAGAAGGAGCCCCGCTAATCTTACAGAACCTAGAAGTTCTGTTCTTTCCATGTGCTGTCACTAAGGCAGAATTAGGAAAGAGGATTTGGAGATTCAGCACAAAACCACTGCTACTGCTAAAAAGGAAAAAAACCGTACTTAGAATGTGTGGCGAAGGGCAGTGATGTCATCTTTCTGCATGAGGGCCATGTAGAGCGTTGTTCATGGAATGGACATGAGTCACTGTTCAGATGTTTCACCTGAACCTTCGTGTGAGGCTTCTCTTGCTTTTACTTTTAAAGTCAGCCACCTCATTCTGTCTGTCATCCGTAAGTCATAATGAGGACTGGGAGATAAGCTGATACATTCGATCTTTGTTACGGTGACATGGCAATAGTACTCACTCGAACGTGAATGTTTCAAGTTTTGAATTCTTGTCCCTATGGGACATTTATTAAATACACTTATTAGGACTCTTGCAAAGTAGCCTTAAAAGTGTTAACGTTTCTATGGATAAATATGAACATATGTGCTATCATTGCAACACCTTTACTCCTATCCCGAGAGCAGTGCGTTGACCTTTCTGTAGAGGGTGAAGCTCTAATTTCTTATTACATGTATTTTTCTTTAGAAAGAGAACTCTGGAAGCTGCCAGTTTTTCTATTAACCTTGAACTATTAAAATTGTATTTATTTAATTTTATTGTTTTTTTACAAAATTGCACCTTGTGTGGCCAAAGGGCAAAGATATGAATCATTGCATAAGGGATTTATGTTTGTCAAAGAGCTCAATGTTTTCATATCCTTACTGTAGACACTTGAAACAGTTGGTGGGAAGGAACTTCCTGGGAAAATATCCTTTTCAAAGGCAGGCGTTCCTCTGGTGGTTTTATGTAAATCCTCTTGGGAAGAGAACAAGGGCTCTCGGTGAGGTCAGGGGCAGCCAGGGCCACATGCTGCTTGTTTCTATGGCAGGTTTACTCACTGAAAATGGCTTCTGTCCATTAGAAAATAAAAGCCGCCCCCTCACACAAAACTCCATAGCTGTTTTCGACATTAAAATGTTTAAATTTTGTAAATCGGTCGTTGCCATGACGCCCTGGGCTGATCACGCTTTTATAACCTCCCATCCGTGCCCCTTCCCTAAAAGTCATGAGCGCATCATAAAGTGGAAGCGCACAATCATGAAAAGTCAGAAACTGGGTGCTTCCAGGAGAGGCTTTGAAAGGAGAAGCGGCAGGAAGTCGGCCTGGGCAGTGTCGTCCTCCCCACCCTCGCCAGCATCCCCCCGGGCCACACCCTTCTCCCGGTTGCACGGTGGCCTTGCTCGCGTGTGTGTTTCACCCGAGTCCTCCACGGGCAAGGCCCGGCACATGTCGTTGCCGACAAAGGCTTTTTTTAATTATTTTTCCCTTGGTTTGGGGTGTGTAAATAGCCTAAAATGTACATTGAATTTCACAGTGTCAAAGTGTATTTTATTCCTTGTATTATATTATGCAAAAATCCCTATGTATATGAAAGTGCATAATAAATATATTTGCTTTACTGAGGATATCTTGTTTTATTTTTACCCTTGAAGCAGGACAGGCGGCATATGTCCATGACGAAAACAGCTGTTCGTTGTTTTAAGGCGTTCTCTGAGATGCTTTTTCATGAAGAAAGCCAAGCGAGGCACAGCACAGGCCGAAGGGAGGTAGGAAAACCAGAAGCCGGAGCCTTCCTGCTTTCTGCCGCCTGCTATAAGGACCCAGTGCTGGCGACCGGTTGCATACACACGTCACCCCTGACGGGTGTCGTGCCTCAGAATTACAGCCAGCCAGCGGTGCACGTGTGTGCTCCTGACCATCCGAGCAGCATGGCCTCTTAGGTTGGCTGTTCTGGGTTTTCTTGCAAACAGGGTCGTCCACCTCCCAAATGCAGCGTGTGTTCTTCACTCAAGAAATGTGGAGCCACTCGGTGGCTCAGCCTGTAATCCCACGCCTTGGGAGGCTGAGGTGAGTGAATTGCCTGAGCCCGCGGGTTTGAGACCCGCCCAGGCAACTTGGTGAGACCTCAACTCTACAATAAATCAAAATTAGCCAGGTGCGGTAGTGTGTGCCTGTAGTTCCGGCTACTCAGAAGGCTGAGGCGGAAGGATCGCTGGAGCCCAGCGGGTTGAGGCTGCGGTGGCCAGGAGCAGCCGCTGCACTCCGGTCTGGGCGACAGAGTGAGACTCCAACTCAAAAAAAAATTAAAAAAAGAAATGCGAGTCACTTGTTCACCTTGTGTTTTCTATCAGAACACGGTATGTGTGCATACACACGTGCACACTCGCACACACACACACACACACACACACACACACACCCCTGTGCGCACACACACCTGAACACACGGACCTCCTTACCCATGGGCTCCACATCCCTGGACTCAAACAGCCTCTGATCAAAAGTATTCAGGTGAAAGAAGGATTCCACCCAGTTCCACAGAGGCAAAACCTAGGTGTGTGGCGTGCAGGTCCTGCCTTGCCTCTGCCTGGACGCAGTGACGTGCAGGCGTCGTGTGGGGTGTTACACGTGATTGGAGATGATCTGCATCCGCGGGAGGCCATGGTGGGCTGTGTGCAGACCCTGCACCCTTTCCCCTGAGGTATGGGACTTGTGTATCCAAGGAGGAATCTGGAAACTGCCCCGTGGACACCAGGGACGCCGGCCCTTTTACTCCACAGAGGGTTCCAAGAATGCCAACGAGGTGCCTTCTGTTAAGCAATTTCACGATCCTCACCATGTTCTGTCGTTCCCTTCATTCTGTGTTTTATAAATTTGTTGGGCTGACAAAAATCTTGTTCTCAGAAATTTTAATAGCGTGCAGAGTGCTTCCACAAGTGGATAGCACACATAGAAAAGCTTCAGGACAGGCTGACCGGCTCAGTCAATGCAGAGTTTGCCAGCTGGCAGGCCAAGTGCAGGCCCCAAGGCTGGGCAGCCATGGCGGGCCCCTGTGTCCAGGAACCCCGTGGATGCTCAAGGCCCGGAGTCGCCCTGTCTGGTCCACTCCCCTCCCGGACGGACCTTCCATCAGGCTGCGGATCCCGCGCCTCGGAGGGTCAACTGATAGCCACCGGATACACGCTGAAGGATTATGTTGCTGGTTTCTGGGAGAGTTTCATTGGTTGTGCAAATATATGCACTTCATTTCATTTTCAAGACAGGCTTTGCCTTGCAGGGTGGCCACTATAGTAAAATTATCAATGTTAAAAAGGAGTCATTTGAAATTGACTGCGTGTTTAGATGTCCACCCTTGAGTTCACAGCATTGTTACCACACAGGCAACGTTTAGAGACCTTCTGAGAGCCCTAATCGATGAGTAGCATTTAGAAGACTCCTGTGTTATACTTAAAGCGTTTCCTCATTCATTGTCTGTATATGTGCACATTTTAATCGCTCGGTCTATTACTCGCATTTTATTTGAAAACGTACATTGAACTGTGTGTGTGTGTGTGTTGTGGGGGGCGGCTGTAATGCTCTCCATTTTTACACATTGGACATTCCTGTTTATTCCTTGGGTCAAGGTGTCAGCCATAGACATCATCTCAGAAACCTCCCTTGCCACTTCCAGACATTGCCCACACCACTCGGCTGACTCGTGACCATAATTAGCATCGACGGGTTTTTTAAATGGATGTAAGCAGAATCGAACGCTACATCCTTCCCACGCTTCCTGTTTGGGAAGACCCCCGCAACCCGCCCCGCCACTGTCACGGGGCGGCGCCCTTTCCATTGCTAGATGGGACTGTTTTCTTTGTCCTTTTTAAATTTCTGTGCAGTGCATACCCCATCGTGGGAATATGCCATACTTGTAATCTGGTAGACTACCGAGGCACATTTGGATTCTTTCCAGTGTAGGGGTCTGAAGAATACTGCAGACAACACAGGTGTTGTACATAAACACAGGTGTTGTCCGTATAATATCGTTGCTTCTCAATAATACGAGTGACATGACTGCATCTCAGGGTATATACGTGACCAGCTTTAATAGATAGGGCCGAACAGTTCTCAAGTGGTTTTATCAGTTTCGTCAATTTCTGCTCCCACCTCTTTGCCAGCGCGGGGTGTCCATTTTTTCTTCTTTTTTCTTTCTCTGTTTTCATTCTCGGCAGTTGTGTGCGAGTATCACATTGAGGTTTGAAGTGGCACTTCCCGGAGGACTAATACATTAGTCAGTTTTACATACCATGACCGTCCATTTGGATGTCATGTTTTGTGGACAAATGGGTACATTTTTCTCTAGTTTCTTGGTTTGTAGGTATTCTTCTATATTTTGGATTTAAGTCATTTTTAAAATATACACAATGCGAATATCTTCTCAGAGTCTGTGGTTTGGCCTTTCACTCTTATAATGGTGTATTTTGACGAACAAAGATACTTATTTAATAAAATCTAGTCTTTTTCAGCAGTTACGCTTTTTGTAACCTATTGTTACAAATATTGTAAATATTTGCCTGTCCCAAAGTCAAGATGATATTCTGCCATGGTTTCTTCCAATAGCTTTAACGTTCTCCTGTGATTAATTATCACATTAATCCAGCATTATTTATTGAAAAACTTTCTATCTCTCACGGCAATTCAGGGGCGCCTTTGTTATAAATCAGGTCCTCTCACATGCATTGGTCTTTCTGTCCACCCTTGAGCCAATGTCATATCCACCTAAGCACTGGAGCTTTCTAAAGTGTTTAGGTATCTAGTAGGGTGACTCCTCCCACTCTTCCAGATTGCTTCAGCTTTTTCTGACATTTTTCTAGAACTTTAAAATAGGTGTCTCAGACATTGTTTTTGTTAAGCACTGTTCTAGGCCATGTGTTCATTGGGCTACGGCTGCTGTGTTTTCCTAAGCTTTGGCCCCCTCCCCTACCTTGGGGAGGCAAATCTCCTCTCCCTCTCTCTCTTAGTTTCTAAATAAACTGTATTTCCCAATCTAAAAATAAATAAATAAAAATTTTAAAAATAGGCTTCTCAATTATTATTATTCATTTTTTTTTTTGAGTTGAAGTCCCACTCTGTCACCCACACTGGAGTGCAGTGGCCGCTCCCAGCCACCGCAGCCTCGACCTGCTGGGTTCCGCCCATCTTTCCGCCTCAGTCTTCCGAGTAGCTGGAACTACAGGCACGCGCTACCACACCCGGCTAATTTTTCTTATTTTTATTGTAGAGATGAGGTCTCGCCAAGTTGCCCAGGCGGGTCTCGAACCCGCGGGCTCAGGCAATCCGCTCACCTCAGCCTCCCAAAGGCGCGGGATTACAGGCTGAGCCACCGAACCCGGCTTTTTTTTTTTTTTTTCTGAGTTGAAGTCTCACTCTGTCGCCCAGACTGGTGTGCAGTGGCACACTCCCGGCCACTGCAGCCTTGACCTGCTGGGCTCCAGCGATCCTTCCACCTCAGGCTTCCAAGGAGCTGGAACTATAGGAGTGCACTACCACGCCCAGGTAATTTTTGATTTATTGTAGAGAAGACGTCTCGCCAAGTTGTCTGGGTGGGTCTCGAACCTGTGGGCTCAGGCAATCCACTAGTTTCGGCCTCCCAAAGTGCTGGGATGACAAGCTGAGCCACCTAGCCCGGCCTCAATCATTATTTTTTAAAACTCTGCTGAGTCTTGATCAGGTTTGCATTGAATCTACAGATCAATTTGGGGTTGGGTGAATTGTTTATATCTTTTAGTCTTCCAATCAATGAAGTTGTTTTATCCTTCATTTATTTAGGTCTTTACCCTGAGTAATGTTTCTTAGTTTTCTGTGTGGAGGCATGTGCCTCTGTTAGCCGTATGTCCAGGTAATCTGTTGCTTATTGATGCTTTTGTTAAACGGCTTTTTTAATTTAATTTTCTATTTGTTGTTGACATAGGGAAATGCAGTTCATTTAAACATATTGATCACTTATGCAAAAGTCTTGCA